TGTGATAGGTGATCCGTTTATCATTATGTTAAGAGGGACATCTGTAGCTCTGTTACCAAACTGAATGAAGTAGGTTTTGTCAATGTTTAGTGTAAGTTTGTTAGTCCTCATCCAGGTAGATATTTTCTGTAATTCGGTATTTACAGTATTGGCTAGCGTGACTGGGCTCGGGTGGGAGAAGACGTATGTAGTGTCATCTGCAAATAGTGGGGGTTTTGGGAGTAATTGCGAAGCATTTGGTAGGTCATTTATGTATAGGAGAAAGAGAAGAGGGCCAAGGACACTTCCCTGTGGGACACCAACTGTAATTGGTTGTGCAGAAGAGTTTGCCCCATTTGCGTACACATATTGGCTTCTGTTGCTGAGGTATGACTTGAGGTAGTTGAGGGAGTGCCCTCTTATACCATAGTGTGACAATTTTACGTGGAGCAAGTCATGGTCAACTGTATCAAAAGCTTTACGTAAGTCAATGAAGATCCCCAGTGGGACTTCTTTTTTCTCTATTGCAGTGTATATATGTTCTAGCATGTGTATAATAGCATCATTAGTATTTTTATTAGGCCTGAATCCAAATTTGGCGGGGGTTGAGTATGTTTTGGGAGATAAGGTAGGAGTAGATTCGTTTATGAATTAATTTTTCGAAGATTTTTGAGAGAGGGTGTAAGTTGGATATTGGCCTATAGTTATTCAACTCTGTTTGGTCTCCTCCTTTGTGGATCGGGTGACCCTTGCTATTTTGAGTACTGTAGGGAAGGTGGAGGATTCAATGGATTTGTTAAAGAGTGTTGCAATGATTGGTGATAGCACTTGTGACACTTTTTTGTATATAAAGGGTGGTAAGGTATTTAAATCTCCTGCCTTGTTTTTTAGTGCGTTGATAATAAGGAGACTTCGTATGGGTTAGTCGGAGCTAGGAACAGTGTGTTCGGGTAGTTGCCGGTGAGGTAGTCATTTGGTGGGGTATCTGAGCTTGGGATTTTATTGGCAAGGTTTTGTCCTATAGTGGAGAAGAATCATTGAGTCTGTTTGCTGTTTCTGTTGGTGGGAGTTGGGGTTCATCTGATTTTGCTAATTTTATTTCGCTATTTCGTGATATCTTTTTTTGTTCCCAGAATTTCTGATAGGGTTTTCCAGGTCTTTTTTATATCACCTCGTAAGTTGGATAATCTGTTCTCAAATATAATTTTTTTTGCCCTTCTTATCAGGCTCGTTAGGATTGACGAGTAACGTTTTGTTTGGTCTCTGGTTATGTGACCCATTCTGTACTGTTTTTCATATTGGTGTTTTGTATTTATGGATTTGAGAATGCTGGGTGTTAGCCAGGGACTGTTCAGTCTCTTACTGTCATCTGTTTAGTTTTTTTAGGGCAGTGCTTATTATAGAGGTATTGGGTCTTTTTTTTAGAAAATTATTAATACATTCGTCAATATCTGTATAGATTTCTAGCTCAGTGTGCCAGTCAATGTTTGCTACTGCTGTTGTGAAGTTATTAATGGCTGCCTCATTGTGAAGTCTAAAGGTGACTTTAGTAGTGTCTTGGGGTAGTTTACCAAGAGTTGTTATGAGGAAAGTAGGGTAGTGGTCTGTGGTATTATCTGTAATTATGCCTGATTTTAAAGGGGATATGGTGTTGGTCCAGATGTGGTCAAGTAGGGAAACACTAGTCTCTGTAACTCTTGTAGGTTTTGTTACTGTTGGTAGCAACATACAGTTACTCATTGTGTTTGTGAATTCAGTAACTTGTGGGTCCTGGTCTTGCAGGAGATTTATATTGAAGTCACCTGAGAGTAGTAAGTGATCTTTGTTCATGCGTGCATCAGTTATCATACTTCCTAGGTTTTGACTAAATTGGCTAATGTTTGACTGTGGAACTCTGTAGATGTTTTCAATGTGAGAGGTTTTTGTAGGTATTTGGATTTGAATTTAGCTATTATATATTCCCCATGTTCATCCCTTGTGCAAGTATTAGTGATACATTCTAGTTGGTCTGAGTAGTATATGGCTGTGCCACCCCTTGTTGGTCTGGCCTACAGTTTGTGTATGGCTGTGTAACCAGGAATGGCATAGACATCTGTACTATCAGGCTTTAGCCAGGTTTCAGTTAGTGTAATGATGGACATATTGGCATGTAAGGAATTTAGTAATGCTATGAGGTCTATATCGCATGCTTGCTTAAAGATCTGATATTGTAGTTAAAGATAGTTATGTTGTTATTGGCACTGAGAAGTGCCTTTGATTGTTCTGCAGTGTAGTAATTACAGTAACTGTTTGGTTCATTTTAGTCATTATATAAGAGGTTGGTATCAGGATCAATGCTTGTAATCATAAGATTTGTAGTGAATCTATAGTTAGAATTAAGTATAAAACAAAGTAAATAGTCTTAAGCTAAAAAATAGCACCTGAACTATTTAACAAATGTAAAATAATGAGCTAAGGTATTTTTTTTTTTTTTTTTTTTTTTTTTTTTTAAGCTAAAATAAAGGAGACAATATAAAAGGGACTAATACAAATAAAGTGATGATCAAATAATGGAGCTTGGGAATATGATAGTAGGTAGTACTATAAAGGTAATTCTTTAAAGTTAGAATTATAGTATAAATTATAATATAAAGGGACTAATATAAGTTGTGGTGAACTATAAAGTGGTAATCAAATAAATGAGCTTTGGAATATAATGGCAAAATTGTGAACTTATTCTACTTTAGCACCTGAGAATAGCACCTTGATTATTTTAACAATTGTGAATATATAAACTAGGGTAGTTATATAAAGCTAAAATAAAGGAGAAAATATATAAGGGACTAAAATTAAGTAATGGTAAACAAAGTTAAATGGACAGATGGTCACTATGAAATAATATTGGTTTAGGAGTAAGATCTGATTTGTAATATTAAATAATTGAGCAGTTTATTGCACAATAAAAAGTAAAAAAAATGAGGTAGTTGGTACTAGCTAGCAAAAGATAGTTTTGGTACTTGCAATAAAGTAATTGGAATATATACTAATTGCATACACAATGAAAAGTGACTAAAAAACAAGTAGTGATAAACAAAATTAAATGGACAGGTAAGAATAATGAATATTATTAATTTGGAGTAAGATTTGACTTGTAATTTAAAATTATGAGCAATTAATAGCAGTAAGAAAGAAGTATAGAGTATTGGAGGTAGTTGGCATTAGCTAGTGATGAAAAATAATAAAATTAATAATGCACAATATAATAGTAACGTACACTATATGCACCACAACGTATATGTATTAAGGCACTTATCTAATCTGTTACAGAAAAAGTCAGCTTTTAAGGAAGGTAGAGAAATCATGTTCGTTTGAGATGGGATATTGTTGTCCTGTTGATTTTCCTTACTAGTATTTTCCATCTCGCGTGAGACACTGATGTATTTTGTTTTCCTGTTTAAGTTTTCTCAGCCTGAAAAAAGAAGGTTTTGACGTTTTTTGTTAGACACTCATTTATGTACACTCCATTTTTCATTGTAATTGCTGATTTAATTAGTCCTTTCTTTTATCGTATGAATGAAGTCTGATCATTATACTGTGTTACTTCCTGGTTTTCCTAACAAACGTGTTTCTTTGATTTCATTGTTTTGCACGATGACTTGTACTGGTTCTGTATTATCCTGATAGCAGTTTCTTTGCACTGTGCTTGTGTTATGTCACTAGGAATGTGTGGGCTGTTATTATAACTGCATCAGACAACTTATCTTGTTCAGTTTTGTCGTCTTGGAAATCAAGGTATTCATTTAGTCGAGTGTGGCATGTTCTGATTCCATCCTTGATTGCTTCTTCAACCTTCATATTTATTGTTGTTAAATTTGTCAGTGTGACTGGCTATAGCTGCTTTTAGAGTATTTTCTGTGTCAACACTTCCCGATGTAATCTTTCTTCAAGGTTTTGGATCTTTTTCTCGAGGTTGGTTATCTTGGATTCTCGTCGCTCGAGTGTTGCTTGATATCTTGATTTCATTTTCTAGAGCAACGATGTAGTCCTTGATATTGTCAGAATAATCATACCTGAGTTATCATGGTGAATCCTTTGAAGGGAGTGAGTTGGAGGGGGAGTCAGCCATGTTTGTTTGTTTTTGTTTTGTTCCCGGTGGCGGTGGTGAGGGGGTTGATGATACACTGGCGTCTGCTGGTAGACAAGTTGAGTTCTAGGTCCTTGCTGTATTCTTTTATTACTGATGTTGTTTCTTCTGCGATATCCTTTCATAGTATCACTGAAGTAGATACTGTGTAGCAATGGAGGAGAAGGCTTGTTTTCTCGGGGCTTGGGTTAAGTGGTTGTCTGGCAGCGGAGGCAGTGTTTGGGTTAGCAGGGCTGTCTTCCTTAGATCTTCTAATTTTGTCAAGATTTGGGTTACATTCTTAGTATTCTTGGGTCATGTTGTGGTCTACGTGGGTTCATGTAGTTGATCTTTCACTTAGGCCATCACAAGTTTTGATGAGCGATGTTTTTTTTTGAGAAAGAAGAGCTGGTAGGATACCGTTGCTGCCGCTTCCGCCGCCGTCAGTAATTGGCGGTGGTGGTCCTCCTCCCATCCTAGTCTCAGATCGGGCCACAGGGGCGTTGACCCCCAAATCCTCTCCAGGTATACTCCAAGTATCCTGCCTTCTGGCCTTCTCTGCCTCTTACTGTCTCAATTTTGATTTAACAGTGATCCAGGATGGACCAAAACATTATCTTAATGTTCCTCTCTTAAGTGCAGGTTATCGGTGAATTGTTCCAACCACAGTATTGTGACTTTTTATTCTTAAAATCTGGAAAAGAAGTGAAAAAATATTAGATTCCATTTGTTTCAATTTGCTGTTAAGCACAGCGACTTTGACTAGAAGTGCCAGTGGAATCATTCAACTGCTATGAGTGGTGGTGATATTTGTTCATAGGTTGTATGTAAACAAACAAACAAGTATCTGTCATAATATCTCAAAATAGATGTACTTAATCAGAGTGCTTTGCATAACATAATTTATTTCCATTATCAGAGTGGATCCCTGACCAGCCACCATATCAGTACCTTGGAAGGGGAGATGTGCAATCTGTTGGCTGCCTTACGACATGATGCTGTCTCACTTGTTGATTCCTTTGACATCCATGATCGCATTTTGGACTCAACTCTTGGATGCTGGGATGGAAATGTGTATCAAAGGTGATTAAAACATAATTACTTTTGTTCAGGTCTATATAATATCTTTCTTGCTTTTACTTTAAACATTTGGTGTATGTAAACTTACATTTTGATTCTAAAGAAATAATTGAAGATTTAATAAACATACTATTGTAATTGTGCTGAAAATGTCTTATATATGACATTGTTTTCAGAATGTTTGATGAAGCCCAGAAGAGTCCTTTGAACCAGACAGATGTTCCTGAAGCTTACTACAAGTACTTGAGGCCACTCATGAAAGCAAACCTTTAGAATTGCCTAAACACATACTCTATGATTTTTTTTCAGAGTAATTAAAGAAAATAGTAGTATTATTATAGGTAGTAGGTTGGTAGACAGCAACCGACCAGGGAGGAACTACCGTCCTGCCAAGTGAGTGTAAAACGAAAGCCTGTAATTGTTTTACTTTAGGGTAGGATTGCTGGTGTCCCCTTTTTTTTGTCTCATGAACATGCAAGATTTCAGGTACGTCTTGCTACTTCTACTTACACTTAGGTCACACTACACATACATGTACAAGCACATATATACACACCCCTCTGGGTTTTCTTCTATTTTCTTTCTAGTTCTTATTCTTGTTTATTTCCTCTTATCTCCATGGGGAAGTGGAACAGAATTCTTCCTCCGTAAGCCATGCGTGTTGTAAGAGGCGACTAAAATGCCGGGAGCAAGGGGCTAGTAACCTCTTCTCCTGTATATATTACTAAATGTAAAAGGAGAAACTTTCGTTTTTCCTTTTGGGCCACCCTGCCTCGGTGGGATACGGCCGGTGTGTTGAAAGAAGAAAGAAGTAGTATTATTATAATAGTATGCAGGTAATTTTATGTATGTTTTGGTAGTAAGTAGTAATATATGTATAAGCATGATAGCACTGATGCTGTAAGCTGTTTTATTTGTTATTAATACGTATTACATGCAATGTGCATTCAAGTTACTTGTTCTTGTTACTCGTTTTTTTTTCATTTAGGGGTGACATTTTCTAAAAAGATATTGAAGTGAAAGGTCATTTCTTTGCTTTTAGGCAAAAGTTCATCTGATTAAGGTACAGGAATACTTCATTGTAAAAAAGGTTATGACCGTGTTATACATACATACATACATACATACACCATTTTTATTAAATTTAAAAAAATATTCCTTGAGGTGAAACTGGTGAACTAAACCTCATTTATAAAATAAAGTTTCAGTTATAATGTAATAATGAAAATTAAATTTTAAAAATGTTAATCTTTCAAGATGTAAAGTAAATTTTGTCTTAATTAGTACTAATCCTGTTTAAACCAAATTGTTTACTTTGTATGTGGTGTTTTTTGCATGGTTTCATCACTAAGAGTTGCAACAGAGTAAGACTAATAGTTATCTAATAACAAATCTTTTAGGAGTAGAACTACTTGTTTTTCTTTATAGGTCTGTAGTCTGTATACATTGATACTACTATATTACTTTTTTATAAATAGTTTGTTGTGTTTTGGTAAAGATTTATGCTATATTAATGTAAACCTCTGAAAAAAACAGTGCTTAAATTATTTTTATACAAATATTGCACTGAGTAAACTATCAAAAATGAACAGCAAGCAGAAGGGAGTTCCCACTAAGGCCATCAGATTAATTCTGATGAGGACACTTGAGCACAACAGAAAGATCTAGATAGGTTGATGCAGTAATTGGAGAAGTGGCAGGTGCAGTTTAATGTCGACAAATCTAAGGTTCTAAGCCCTGGGAAGAGAGAATTACCATGGCACTTATAAATTGAATAATGTAGATCTCACTCACTCTGTTAAAAAAAAAAAAGATTAAGGAGTTCTGGTTAGAAGTTAATTCAAGCCAAGAGAATAGTGCATAAGTGTTCATAGTAAAGCTAATAGAATTCTTGGCTTCATATCAAGAAGTACAAATAATAGGAGTCCTCAGATCATACTTTGAATTTATATATTCGTACGTAGTTAGGTGCCATTTAGATTATGCTATGCAGTTTTACTCACTGTATTACAGAATGGACATAAATGCACTGGAAAACATACAGAGAAAGGTGACAAAATTGATATCATGTATCAGAAATCTTTCCTACGAGGACAGACTGAGGGCACTGAATCTGCACTCTGGAAAGGCATAGAATTAGGGATGATATGATTGAGGTGCATAAATGGAAGACAGGAATAAATAAAGGGGATATAAATAATATGGTAAAAATATTTACTCAAGACAGGATTCACATCAGTGGATTCAAGTTTGAAAAAATTAGAATTAGAAAAGATACAGGAAAGCAGTGGTTTGGTAATCGAGTTGTGGATAGATGGAACAAACTGCTGAGTAGCGTCATTGAAGTGAAAAACCTTGTGTAGCTTTAAAAATAGGTTACACAAGTAAATTAGTGAGTGTGAGTTGAGCTTGCCTAGAATGAGCCAGTAGGCCTGCTGCAGTGCTCCTCCTCTTTTATGTTCTTGTGTATCAGAGGTGAACAAAAGACAAGAGGGAGTTTTCACCAAGGTATCTATCTGAGCTGAGCAAAAGACAGGAGGGAGTTTCCATTAAAGTATCATAAGTGAACAGTAGACCATGGGGAGTTTCCACAAAGGCATCAGAGGTAGCCAACAGGAGGGAATTTCCACTAAGGTATTGGAGGTGAACAGCAGACAGGAGGGAGTTTCCACTAAGGTATCAGAAGTGAACAGCAGACAGGAGGGAGTTTTCACTCAGGTACCAGAGGTGAACAGCAAATATAAGTGTGTACCGAGTAATAACCTCAAGCATGAGTGAATGCAAATAAGAATAAAACACTTAAGAATTTGAATGAGGCTTTAGAGAGTTCACATTTCCAGAGGTATAAAATACTGGTGAGTGGTCAGTATTACATAGCTGAATGCATTATCCTTTATGTGCTTGTTGTTTATGTTCGTGTCTGTGGAACCTAATTACAGTGGACCCCTGAATTTTGTGATTAATCCGTTCCAGAGAGCCTGCCGAAAGTCGAAATTCATGAAACTTGAAACCATTTTCCCCATAAGAAATTATGGAAATAAAACGTTCCAGAAACCCAAAAATATTAAAATAAAATATTTTTTTTCAAATTACATAAAGATTTATATACTGAAATCAATGAGAAATCAAGTACATACATATAAAAAATAATAATAACATTACACTTACCTTTACTGATGACTTCTGGGTGGATGGAAGACAGGAGGAGGGGATAGGAGGAAGGTGTACACTATTGTTTGGAAGGAGAATCTCCTTCCATTAGGACTTAGGTAGCAAGTCCTTATCTGGGGTTACTTCCCTTCTTTTTTTAATGCCACCAGGAACAACTTGAGAGTCACTGGACCCCTGTCGCACAAAATATCTCTCCAGGGAGGTCGTTTTCTGGCGTTTCTTTAAGATTTTCCTGAAGTGGGACACAACACTGTCATTGTACATGTTGCAGATATGGCTTGTTTCAGCTTGGTCAGGGTGATACTTTTCAACAAAACTTTGCAACTCATTCCACTTGGCACAAATCTCCTTAATCTTAGAAGAAGGCACCTCATCCACTCCCTCTTCCTCTTCCTCTGAAGCAAGTTCCTCGGCTGTGGTCTGATGCTGTTCCAGTTGAAGCTCTTGCAGTTCGCCAGTGGTTAGCTCTTCCCTGTGGTCCTCCACCAACTCTTCCACATCCCCGTTACTCACCTCCAACCCCATGGACTTGCCCATTGCCACAACACCTTCCACAACAGGCAAGGGTCCAGGCCAGGGCCCAAAACCCTTCAAAATCCCTCGGGATCGTTTTTCCCTCACTTTTTTTTCCCAAAGGGCTTGCACTAGTTTCCCTTGGGTCCATGATGACTTATTTAGCATTCCCAAGCAAAAAAAACAAGGGATTTTTTATGAAATTATTGTATGAACCCGCGGGGTGATGGTCACTGTTGGTAAAAAATGGTACACGAGCGGAAGGGCGGGGGAGACTGGTTTGGGGTGGGGCGAAAGTAAAGGGGCGGACTTTTTCCCCGGAGGTCGCCCGAAACCGAGTCTAATCATAAAAATCGGGGGCCAAATTTTGCCAAAAAAAACTCGCCGAGGTCAAATTTTAAAAAAAATCGAGGCTTCCAAAAAACTCAGGGGTTCACTGTTTTATATTTAGGGAAAAATTGAAAGGGCCATAGGGATTTTTGCAGCTCCGGGAATGGGGAAAAGGGGCCCTTTTTACCAAAGCCCTTCACCGCATTTAAACACCTCCTTTAAAGAGGATATCAGGGGCCCAAATTAGTGTGTTTTCCATTAATATAAAATCACTGGGATCACAATTAAGGAATAGGCTTTTAAACTTCCATTATCACACCTTTTTTAAAAACCACTTTTTGGCAGTAACTTTTCTTTTCACAAAAGGGTTATAGAACACAACTAAATAATGCCTTTTTTCCAAAAAGTTAGCCTTGTGTATATAGGGGGGTTGGGGGGGGGGGTTGATGTAAACATTTTTCTAAGTACAGTATGGCCCCCCTTTACATTTTTTTTGCTGTACGTAAAATTGGGGGCTGCCGCTCCCCCCCCCCCACCCCCCCCGGCTCACTAATGGGGGCCTTTTTTGAAATTCAACGGTTTTTTACATCCCCCTGAGCCCTTGTCTCCCATTATGTCGGGAAACTTTCCAAAAATTTCAAGTGTTTTAAATTTATTTTCGTATTATAGTATATTTTTAATATTTTTAAATTTTTAAAATTTTTATACTAAAATAAAAGGGGGTAAAGCACTGGAACTGTTTGGGAACATGAAAATGTTAAAAGCGGGGGGGGAATATAGTGTTGGAGGGGTTTTGGGTACTTTTTTTTAAAAAATGAATGAAAGGGGGGAAGGGTCCCTGGGGATGGGGGAAGCAGGTATAGCCCCCTTTAAATATAAAGGGAAAAGGGGGACAAAAGAAATTGTAAAAATTATAGAGGAATAAGTTTTTTAAAAGTAAAACCAGGAAAATTTTATGGTAGGGTTGAAAATTAAAAGAATTAGGGGAAAGACAGAATGTAGGATTGCGGAGGGGGCAAGGGGGGTTTTCGGGAGGGGGTAGGGGATGTGTAGACCCAAGTGTTTCCCTTGGGAAGCATTATGTAAACCCGTATTTAGATAAAGGTGGGGAAAAGTTTTTTTTTGCTTTTAAGGGGATTTAGAAAAGGAAATATGTTGAGGGGATGGGGACAATGTGGCATATTTTGAAAATTAAAAAGGAATAGGGGGAAAGGGTTACTAAATGCGTAAAATTTTTTAAATGAGGATAGTGGGGGCTCGGGTTAGGGTGTGTAGAAGAAGGGGACTACTTCCCGGAAAAAAGTAGGTCTTAGAAAAGGGATTGAAAATGTAACCAGGGTTGTTTAATATTTTTTATAAAAAGGGGTTTAAAAAGAAGTAAATGCAAAAGGGTTTTTCGGGAGGGGGTGGATTAAATTAGGGGGAAATAAAATTTAAAAAAGGGGAAATTTAAAAACAAAATTTATTTTTTGCTGTTTATCCCGTGCTTATGGGAAAATTCTAAAGAAAAATTGAAAAGGTTTGGGTGGATGATTTTTGGAAATGTGTGTAAGGTAAAAAAGTTGAAAGTAAACATAAAAAAAGGGGAAAGGCGTTTAAGGTATCAAATGATTTAGATAAAGAAAAATTGGATATCAAATTGGGGAGGGGGAAATATGGAAAATAAATGTTTTCAGATTTTGGGGAGTTGCGTTCGAAAGAGGGTTTATGAAGGTTTGAGGTTAACCCCATAGAATTGATGGGGGGGAAAAAAGGTGAGGGGGTGAAATTGAGGTATAGGGGAAGTAAAAAAAAACGTTATCTAGGGAGGCAAAAAAAGGGAATGTATGAAAGTATAGTAGTCCCAACACTTTTATAGGGGGTGAAGCTTGGGGGGGAAAAATGCGCAGTGGGGAGAGGGTTTGGGAGGCATTGGAGATGTCCTGCAAGGCAATGTGGGGTTGTAAATATTATGCAAAAAACCCAGAGTGGGAAAAATTGGGAAAAGGGGGGGAGTTAATAAAAGCATTAGTAAAGGGGGGCAGAAGAGGGGTTTTTTTAGGGGGTTTTTGGGGCCCATTTAGAGAAAAATGGAAAAAGTAAAAAGGACAGGGAAAGGATATAAATCTTGGGGAAAGGGAAATCGGGGTAGGGGTCGCCTCGAAAGGGTTGGGAAGGGGGGTTTAAAGGGGACTTTTTGTGGGGGGGGGCCTTGGGCTTCCAGCAAGCGTCCGGAGCATTTTTAAGATAGGAGTGAAGGAGACAATTTTTATTTGGGGACCTACGATCTGTTGGGTGTGAGCAGGGTAATATTTAGTAAAAGGGGTTTCAGGAAACCGGTTATTTTCATATATTGGGGCCCTTGAGTCCGGGAAAAAGGGGAATTACAATCCCTGCATTTAAAAAGGGGGGGGGTTTGGGGATTTTGGGCAGTTTCGGGGGAATATTTTTGTGTATTTTTAAAACAAATTTTGCTTCAAAAACTTTGTTTTCTGACACCTGTGCAAAAACATGTTTAATGTGGGGTTTGGGTGAAAGTTTTGAATGATAAATAAAAGGGCATTTTTTTTTTGGGGATTTTCTATCTTTTTTGGGTCCCCCTGCCTCGGTGGGAGCCCTGCCCAACTTTTTGAAAAAAAAAAAAAATATATTTTTTTTTTAACACACCCGTCATTTCCCACCGAGGCAGGATGCCCCCAAAAAAAAAGGGAAAAAAATTTTCATTACCCGTAAAACACTTCACCCAACATTTCATACATTATCACTGTTTTTGCAGAGGTGCCCAGTTAAAAACATTTTAAAGATAGCCCACTCCCCAAACCTCCCAAATATCTCAAACCCCCCCTTTTAAAAAGTGTGGGCTTTTTTTTTCCCCCTTTCCAGGACTCAAGCCCGGGCAAACCCTTTTCCCCCCCTAATCCCTTCACAAAAAATTCCCCGCCACACTCTAACAGCCCCATCAGGTTCCAAAAACCTTTTTGTCTTCTTTTAACTCCTTTTTAAAAAAGTCACGTCTTGCGGGGAAATCCAACCCCTTTGGGGCCCAAAAAACCACCTTAAACCCATCCCTTCAACCCTTCGGGACGCCCCCTACCCCCCCTTCCCCTTCCCCCCTAACAATTTATTCATTCTCCCAATTTAAATTCAAATTTTTTGTTCCTTTTCCTCAAAATTAAACCAAAACCCCAATCCAACAACCCCCCCTTCAGTCCTCTAATACTTTTATAACTCCCACACCTCCTCCAAAAATTTCCACACAAACAAATTCTCTGCAAAATTTTTAAAACACCACAGGCCCATCTCCACTGCCTCCAGCTGCTCCCCTTGCTGCAGCTTTTTAAAACCCCCAAGCTTCCCCCCCAAATAAAGTGTTGAACCCCCTATACTTTCGTCCTTTCCCCTTCTTTCCTCTATGGATAAAAAAATAACAAAAAAAGGCACAATACCGTTTTCGAACTCCTCTTTTCTCTATAAAATTTTACGTTTTTTCTTATTAATTTCAAACAATCCCCCAGATACCTTATATAATCCCCCATAATGTGAACACTTTTTTTTTTAAAGTAAAAAAACTCTGATAAATTTTCTAATATGTTAACACCCGTTTAATATGGGGTTTTTAAAAAGTAGGGACACACGTAGGAAAAGTGATGTTTAAATGGGGCCCAGGATGTAAACAACCCAAAAGGTGTACATATGTTTTTAAAACCAAATTTTTGTAATAAAAATTTAAAAAAAAAAAATATCATCCCCCTTTTTTTCTACTTATTTTTAACTAACATCAGTGTCCCTACTGCTTTTATAGAAACTTGCTAGTTATTTCAAAGCATTTCCCGGGGAAATTAAAGGGCATTTTTATCCTGGGATTTCGACCCAACCAGTCGACTTTAAAAACCAGGTACCAGGTACCCAAAATCACTGATGGGTGAACATTAAAATTTGGGTGTAAGGGGAAATGGCCCAAATTTTCAAAACCCCTTTCCAGGGAAATTTAACCAGACCTCTCACCATGTGAAGCGAGACTTTTGCCACCACCCCCGGGGCCCAAAATTTAAAAAATTCTTTGTCAAAATGTTTAACAGGTTTTATGTGGTCCTTTTAAAGGGCCCTTGTTAATCCCAAAGGGGGGTTTTAAAACCCAATTAAAAACATTAGTACAGGTTTTAACCAACAATAATCTGGCAATCAGTAATCCAGTTCCATCCAGTAATCCGGGCCCTTTTTTTCAGCTACATAATTCCAAAAATTTCCCGGGGGCATTGCAAACCCAAACCCTTTCCCCTACTGTTTGGGGGCAAAAACTTTCTGCATAAGCCCCCTTCCAAATTTTTTTTTTTTTCATTTATTTTTTATAACCCCCTCACTTTTAAACCCTAGCCATGGGTTTCCCAAACCCAAAAAAAAAAAAAAAATTTCCCCCCTTTTCGTTTTGGAAAGCACAAACACCATGCATTGTCCCATAAAGATAAGGGGGCTTTGAAAGCCCCCCCTGCCAGTCGCCAAGAGCTCGGGTCAAATCCAAAAGCTGTGACTGGTAAAAAATTTGGCCAAAATATGAGGGGAAAAAGTCTGTGTGATAAGTGTGCACAATATAAAAAAAAAAAAACCCCCCAGCACGCTTTCATAATTAGAAAAAAACTGTAATCTGTGGGGTATTTTTTTAAAGGATTTTTTGTTGTTTTTTTCGTTTTTTTTTGTCTCAGTTGAAAGAATGAAAAATATACTAAAA